CTAATGCTAATGCTAATGCTCGTGTGGGATCAGACTTAAAAATAAAACTGGATCTGGGGTCTCAACCAACACTGTGTTTTGTTTTGATGCTCAGGTCCAAAATTGTGTTTATTAAAGCCGCTCAAGCTGGAACTGGTCTGATTTAGAGGCCAGCAAAGGCCTCTAAATCAAAAAGGGCTAAACGTGGTGCTAACCGTCCTGGGTGCTCACACAGAGCAGGTTTAAGCTCAAAGAAGCCAAAAACTGGAGTAAATCTGACTAAATGTCACATGACTGAGTGAACCAAACAGAACAGAGTTGCTCATCTCTCCTGCTCACATCATTTCAGGCCAATCAGGTTTGGTCTCTCTAATTTTTTGAGGTGGTTTTGGCTTTTTCTTTTTAACAGATTCACAGTTTTTTGATGGTTCTGGATTCTCTCTAATGACAAATGAGTTCCCTTCCTCGGGAACAAATAAGTGACGTCCATATCTGTCAAATCTCTCCGTCCAGCAGAAACTCTTCGCTCTACTCTGGACTATTGTCTGCACTCTTTAGGGTCAAAGGTCGCCACGTCACAGACGGTCCCAGATAAGTTCAGAGGTGAGAAACCTTCAAGAGTCAGTCAGTATGGAAATGTGTATTCTAACACTTTCATCTTAAACTCCAGCAACCAACTATCAAAACATTTATACTCAATCAAATATACAGTGGGGGAAATAAGTATTTGACACCTTGCTGATTTAGCAGGTTTGTCCACTTACAAAGAATGCAACGATCTATAACTTTAATCATATGTACATTCTAACAGTGAAAGACAGAATCCCAAAGAAAATTCCAGAAAATCACATAATCTGAATTTATAAAAATTGATAACCATCTGATGAGGAAAAATAAGCATTCTTTGTAAGTGGGCAAACCTGCAAAATCAGCAAAGGGTCAAATACTTATTTCCCCCACTGTATATTAATGAAGGTAAAGGAGAAAAAGCATATAAAGGACCAAAAGTGGTCTCAAAAGAAGCTTTTAAAAGCTCCCTTTTTCTAAATTTACAGACCAAACGTTAAAAACCAGAACCACTTGTATTTATTGTCAGACCACAATGAGCCACTCGGTGTGAATGCTTCTTCTAATCTCACAAAAAGCCGAGAATAAACATTTAAAACCGCCATTCACTGCCTCCTCTCAGCTCGTTCACAGCTCATTTGGAGGAACTCACCTGAGTAATCTCCTGCCTGTTTGACGCCCGGATCGTGACCAGACGCAACCACGCGCGTGGCTTCCTGCCTAATAAGCAGTGAAGTGGGAATATTTTGGCCCCAAAAAAAACGCTTCTCTCTCTCACGTCACCGCACGAGGGCGTAACGCTGTCTGATAACTATCTGGAGCATCTGGAGTCTCCAGAACCTGCAAAACACCAAATATAACACACACATTCAGCCTTTTTTTGGTTTCATTGTCATTAGTTATATTAACTGAGTCACCTTTTATAATAAGCC